AGGCCCCCCCCCCCCCGCCCCATATTCTACATACACAAAGTCCTTCTTATAATAGCAGGTTGAAAAATAGGCCTTAGCATAAAGATGCTGATTACCCTTTGGCCTGCTTCCGGGAAAGTTCATGCTGCTGGTCAAGCCAGGTTGGGTCAGAGCCTCACATGTCCTAATCAGATCCTTCTCTCCTTTTGGAATGTTTCTTAAGGCTTGTTGGTGGATTAGCATCTGAAAATGTGCGTTGGGCTGAATCGGTGGAAAATTTCAGTGAACAGGGAAAGACTCTGTGTGGAGATGTGCTACTGATTACTGCATTTGTTTCCTATGTTGGGTATTTTACCAAAAAATATAGGAGTGAGTTACTGGACAAGTTCTGGACTCCTTATTTAAAGCAGCTGAAGGTAAGTCTCTGTAAATGCCTGTTCCAGAAGATGAATGTTGTTCACGTGAGCCTGACAGCCTTCTGATCCTAGTGATTCTAGGCCACAAGTGGATGTCTCCGAGCTTATGCCCAGCTTCAGACCATAAACCACCAAGTCTCTGACCATTTCTTGGTTTGTTGGCTAATAAAGAAAATGTCATCCTTTGCTTTTATTGTCCAAGGCACTTTACAACAACCCAGTAAAACAATTGACCATAGAAAGGAGGAGTCTCAAAGTGACCACTGCAGAAATAATAGCACAGAAGTGATTAAAAGGCTAGGGAAATTAAAGGATCTTTGCTTAGTGCCTTAAAAATACTTTATGGACATTAACATCAGCAGCAGCTAAACCTTCCTAGGGACAGCTACATGCAAGATGTCCCTGCTAGAAGGCACTCTCCCATCACCATCACTTCTCTTCAAATGGTAGATTGATTTGAAGGGTGAAAAATACTGAGCATCATGTCCTCCATGTGTCTTGCCATGATATATGCATTGCATCAAAACAATAGTTCAACAATGAAGTGTGCAGCGGATCCAGAATGTTATCCCTGCAGGCCAACCCTGCTAAAAGCTTATGGTTCTTTCTAACCGTTATGTCACCTTATTTGCTTAGGCCAGACATGAGAAGCCTCTGACCTGTAAGCCTCCTTATCCAATCTACACAGGGCTTCCTTATTTGACCCCTGAAGCCCCCTTGATATCCCTTTCTCTCTGCTCATCCATGCCTTCAGAGAGCTGCTGCTTTATGGCTCTGGGGCTGCCTTGAACCAGCCCTTAGTTTGCCAGTAACATGTGAGATAGTATCAGATAAGCAACAAGATAGTGAAGCTCAGTTTTATGTTCACAAATGCTTGCCAAAATCTAAGAAGTTCAGTACTGAACACAAACAATCGGTGCCTTTTCTATCTGACAGTCCATTTTTATCTTAACATTTTAATAGGTACCAATTCCTATCACTCCTGGGCTGGATCCTTTAACCCTGCTAACAGATGATGCAGATATAGCAACCTGGAACAACCAGGGGCTCCCCAGTGACCGTATGTCAACAGAAAATGCAACTATTCTGTGCAACACAGAACGTTGGCCACTCATTATAGATGCGCAGCTTCAAGGGATCAAGTGGATCAAGAACAAGCATGGACAAGATCTAAAGGCCATCCGGCTTGGACAGAAAAGGTGAACCAGAGTCATTCTGTTCTAATTGTTTGGATTTTATTCCAAAAGAATGGCCTACAGATTGAAAAACAAGAACTGCTGTGCTCTCAGCTTGTCTAGGACATGCCCTCATTTTGCTTGCACCTATTCTGGGATTACTGGAATTGGCCTCTGTTGTATTCCCCCTTATACCCAAGCAGTCTTCCTTGCATCACCCATCGAGGCATGCATTATCAGCTGTCCCTACTTGCAATGCTCCACAGCTTGGGAACAGCTGGGAATAGGCTCCTTGAGATGGCTGGAGACCCAGCCTTGGTCAGTGGTCAGGAGTTTAGGTGGGGAACACACTCACACAACTTTCAGCGACATAGCAACACTTCTGGGATCTTGGACAGCAAGTGATTCACACTTAATGACACTTTACCCACAAATAATTCTTCATTCATCTCTTAGCTTTATTATTTACACACAGAGACCTTTCACTCCCCCATGCTTCCCCAATTCCACCAGAATAACTGACTGAGAAAGGGGAGAAAAAAAGGTTGATGCAATCCAGATGGCTGCATGTAAACAGGATTTCTTCATTCTCATTCAATGTTTTTCTCAGGCCATTACCTATGTGCCATTTAATTCAGGTGGAGTTCATATGTTTTACAACTCTTCTGCCCAAATCCCACTCTGGGTCCTTCCAGATTTGACAGCAGTCTAGGCTTATTTATGTATTTATTTAATTTTATATAGCCACCCATCTCACTTACATGATCCTGGGTGACACATGCTAAAAAACAATGACAAATTCATATAAATAAATTAAAATGAATAAAACAATTAACCAAAAACAAAAGCACAGGAAAGGGCCAACCTACAACTCAATATTTATTTAATTTGCTATTTAATTTAATTGGCATGAGAAGTCCATTGCTGCTTGTCCACTATTGCTTGTCTACTCACTTGAATCCCCCCCCCCCAACCC